CTTTTATTTACGTTCTTCTTTGAAGACAAATTTGCGGGACTTTTGTATATTTGTCTTTAACACACTCACCATGTAAAGTCCGTTCATAGAAGAAAGTGACTAACTGATACGAATTAAGGAAAGATCCTGGCAAGCTGTAAGAATGAAATATGGCCGAACAGGTCCGTACTTTGCTTAGAATTTAATTATTTAGGGTTTTCTTGGGAAAGATACTAAACAATATTTATTTACGTATTTATGTTTAAATCTAAAATAAAATTACAAATTATTTTTATTACCTATTTAAATTACTTAGAATTATTCACATAATATATCAGTATCACTATCGCTATCAACGCCTGTTCTAATTAATATTTGTTCTATATTATCTGCAATATGCATATTCGATTGTTCTGCTTATTCTATATGTTTCACAAAATTCGCCCAACTTTGTGGAGGGATCTTAAAAACTTCGGTTTCTAGAAGTTTGAGAACATTGGAGTTAAGACGGGGCAAAACATTGTTACGACGAATGGCAGATTTCAGTTGGTGCCATACATGTTCAATAGGATTAAACTGTATGACCTAGATTTTTCGCATAATCATCACAGACGTATTCCTTTTGTAGATTCAAGCTTTGTAGAACCTCAATTAATTGCTTTTTGGTATAATATTCGTGAAAATAAATGTCGTTATTATACATGTAGTTTTGGGTTGTTGCTTTTGTGTCACATGAGGAAGGGGTTTTAGTCAACTGTCTACTGTGATAACTTGCATTGTCATTACAATGACGCTATTAGGAGGAATGTTTGGAACTTGTTTGTTTTTAAACCAACTTTCAAATAAATCAGCGGTGGTGTCTTCATGGTAATCTAGAGAAGAATCTTTAATATTTTTCACAGACAGAGAAAGTCCATTTGGAATCCAACCATCTTTAAAGCCAGCATGCAAAATAGTTATTCTTTTACCTCTTTTTGATGGCGTGTTTGTTTTACACTTACCAGTTGAGTCAACCCAACTCTTTTCCGGGGTATCATAAGTGTCGAACCAGGTTTCATCCAAGTAAATAATTGGCCTTTGTTGTTCTCTGTAAATAAAATTTCCATTAAAACTTGCCTTTTGTCAATTTTTAAAAATCTAAAACCCATATGTTGAATACACTTCCATAAGGTAGTTCTGCCACATTTAACACCGGTTTCATCTTTCTCAAGCCTCCTAATTAAGATATCTAATGTAGGCACGCTTTGTTCCTAGTATAACTGGTAAATTTTACGCCGTATTATATCTTGATCACTTTCATCTACACTCGAGAAAATTTTCCATACAGTTGATGTTGGAATTTTGCTCAATGTCGCCGTTCCTTCTAAAGATGCTTGCTTGTTGGCACCACGTTCAATGAGAGTCAAATAAATATCGTTTATGACTTCCTTAGTCCCAATAGCATAGTGTTTTCTACATTTGGGCGGGAGTATCTCGTGAGATACACTAGACTCGCACATATTTTGCATAATTCGTACACGATTCAACACACGCTATATTACACACGAAATGACAATGATTACTAATAAACGTAAACTAAGTAGTATACCAACCAAAGAATATAAGTTAATGACCACCACCCACAGACCATACCGGGTTATTCATTATATTTTGACACCTACCTACAAGTTTAATTTTGAAGGATAGAAAAAAATTGTAAATTCAAAAGTTTGAAGATTTTTGCTCTATTATCTTATGCAAATGTCAGAAAAAACAAAATACTATCGCAAACGGTCAAAATGACAGCAATATCTTTTTTTTTTAATGGAATGTCCTATATGTTATTAGCTTAAATTGTAGACCTTTTTTTCCTGATATGAAAAACATATAGTTTATTGACATTTCATGTAGCCGTTTTTGAGATATTTCAGTTTAAACATAATTATCATTCGATTTCTGGACAATAGCCATCTTGTTTAAAAATGGGCAGGTCCGGCTTGATAGCAACCATATTATCTATGTTTGGAATTGTTTTAACAATGTTATACTTTTGACAACCAATCAAAACTAAAGATCTGCAGCGTGTTAAATAACTTAAGATATTTCAAATGGGTTATACTGGGGAAGAAAAACGCCAAATAACAAAAAAATTATATTATTCAAACGGTCATAATGTTGCAAGGGTTGAAAGACTGTTGATAAATGCAATGAAAAATGTAATTAAACAATGCGGGCACCGCCTTTGAAGCAAAAGGTGTCCATAATTCCTAAAACACTCAGTATAGATCATCACAACCCCTGAAAGGGGTATCTACTAATACAACAAAGTATTTAATTTTAAAGGTATAAGTTCGCTTATCGATATATTTATGTATTTATATATATTTGACAATAATTTTAAATTACTTCATTCAGTCTCATCTATAACTTTTGTATTTGAGATTTTTCTCAAAAAAATAAATAATAAACGAGATATATTCTTTTGACACAATATAACGTACAATCGTTGTCAATGTTGTTAATGTTCAAATAATTAGTGAAGAGTTTATTAATTTTACGAACAAAAATTGTTTCTGTATGGGTGGATAAATATGCCAATTAAAAATAAATATTCATAAAGCCATATGGCTATTAGGGATAAAGAAGCATTGCCTTTACTGATAATATACAGACACTCATGAAGCAACTATTAATAAAAATTGAGGTCCAATCAGCATCCGCATGCCCGAGATTTATAACTTCGATTTTAACCATTGACCTTGCGGCATTCAACAACCAACATGGCCGCTGACAGATCTTCAATAAGCTTTGATGCGGCATTTTTACGGCAGTATTTTCTAGTTCTAGTTAGAGGTACTGGGAAAACAAGATTGCTTTCACTGTATGCACCCTGTATAAAGTGACTTTCACGACAATTTACCAACAAAAATGGAAATTTTTAGAATGTTTTTAATATTTTTGCCCATAAACGACACACCCTGTTGATAATTTAAACAATGTTCGAAATGGAGGTTATAGCTCTGAATCTCTCCCGTTTCCCGGTATAAGAATTTTTCCAATAGAGTAAATGGTTTTCGACAAAAAAACTTGTTTTCTAAAGCCATGCAGTACGTGGTAATTGTAAATGACGTCGTCGCGTCTAGATTGAGGGGGTGAAATGATGATTTTCATTTGGATTATTTCAAATATCTCGACCAGTGAATGTGATAGACGAAAACCGTAAATACAAAAGTTCTAGCTGTCGATGTGGCCTATTTTTAAACCAATTGACCACATTTTTCACGAATTTTGATTTATGGCTAATAATTTAATACCGAAAAGAAAGATTTTCAGGGTCTTTTACATTTTTTTCCATAATTGAAAAACCCAGTATATAATGCCTGAAATAAAAGTTATGGTCCCGGATCTCCCGCATTTTCTGGTTCACAAATTTTGCCGATCGGGTTAATAGCTTCCGAGAAAATAATTTTTTTCAGGAAGCCAAAATATACAAAAAAATTGACAAAAAATAAAAAATGAAATACGGTGGTGGACTTCTACTTTTCCGCCAAATCTGAAGTCGGTAGCTGCAAATTTAAGACAACTGTTATGTTGTTGAATATAGCACTTAATATCTTGAACACCCTGTACAACAGGTGAAAACCTTAAATACAAAAGTTTTAGCTGGCAATGCGGGCTACATCGTCATGTAAAAGAAACGGGTATGCGAAACACGGTCTTTTAGTTATAGCCACTTTTCAATAATGGGGTTACCCATTTTCCAGTTCTTCTGAATTGCGGCGCACCCTGTACATTGTTTAAAAATTATCAGGAATAGCAGTTTATGGAGCCGAATCTTCTGCGTCTTCCCGTTCAAGAATTTTTTTTCTATTACTGATCTTTCTGTTGGTCAAAAGCGATTTTTAATTTTCTTAAAATACTTCCCGACTCCCCAGCCCGGAAATTTATTATTATATTTATTATATTTATGCTTCGGATAATATGGGTTAATACCAGAGAAGAACGCAAAAAGGGCACATGCACTAGCTCTGGCGATAGGCAAAAAACACTTAAATTTTCTTTAGGTTTCTTTTCGCTTCTCGATAATACGAGTACTTATTATTAACTGGACCAGGCAAAGGGCGATATTGTATTGCATTAATAGATATTGTAAAAATAAAAGATGGCGATGGCGAAGTATTCCCTTTTACATCACCACAACACGTGTCACATAACAATGCGACCTCCATTTTCTATTTCTATATTAAAAATAAAAGTACCCCAAATTTTCCGGTGCGACTAATTCAGTCATAGAAAGTAAATATTATCGACATGCGATCGAAACAGGATTCGAAATTTCGCACTCCGAATCGATTTTGTGTACAGACTGGATTCGACTTGATATTTACTAACCAAAAACAATCTTATTCTTTGCTTTGCTTTGCTTTTTTAAGTTGATATTACATCAGCTCTATCTGTTAAGATTTCTGACGCGTTTCGATAATGATGGAAGGTAAATATAATCAAAGATTACATTTTTTAAGGAAGTCGGTTGAATGAATAGGATGTTTCGGACATGCCGTATCAGCGGTCTATTGTTGATAGGCATTTCAAACAATTTCACATTCAAAACGGCATGTGCATTGAGAAAGTACTTGGATTCGTGATTCGGGTACTTATAAAACAATAGTCAACGACATTGTGTTGTTTGTTTTACTTACATTTGAGGTCAATGAGCAATTAAACGATAATTATTATTTTAATGTCAATGATTCGCGTTCTTCTATTTCACTTCCTGATAAATTAATTTATTTACGTTTGTCGTGTAGTCGATTCATTAGCGCAGATAATGTTTATACACTTTATACACTTTTATGCACTTTCTTGTGTTGTTTTGTATGTAAAGGTTCTCAAAAATCAACTAATATGTACATTAACCCTACGTGGTGAAAACTAAAATTCATTACTTCTTAATTGCGACAACCAACATTACACCACCCTATTCTTAAGGTGGTCGTAAACGATGCATTGCAAAACGCAATTAGCCGGATGTTATTGGATTGACCCTATTTCTTAAAATACAACTTTCATCCTACTCCAACATGTTAGTTGTTTTACCGGATTTATTTTTGAATTTTGAAGAACCCGGCTTTAAATACTAAATTCATATTCGCACAAAAGAGCGTACATGGTCGTCTTTAAGAAGCCCCCGACTCTACCGCGGTCAGAGAGCAACAACGTCTTTTGACGTCATTGTTTACCAATCTGTGATAAATGCCGAAATTAAAACAGTTTTTAAATCATTTAACGGTTTTTTCAAAAGTAGATTATAGCCTTATGCGGTTTAGTTATTTAGGTAATGTTGGAAGAATTCATGAGTTACTACGTGTGTGTGTTTTTGTTAACCACCTGCTGCACAGATTTTGAACCTGTATCAACACCTGTTGCATTGAATTAGAAGACAATGAACTGGAGTAAAACGGAAAACGAAAGGGGATTCGCTTTTTACGTAAAGTAATTGTATTGGCAGAGTTTTAATTCGATTTGACTGAACATTTTTTAGTAATGAAAATAACCAGACTCAGTGGGATCATCCAAAATTTTCTGACATAAAACAGGCCTTGGATGACTGCAACTACGTTACATATCCGTCATATAGGGTGGCTCTAAAATTTAGGGTTTTACAGAGAAGTTTATTTAGTACGCTTCAAATTATAAATTCAAAATTAAATTCATTAAATAATATGGTTTTCATAAAATTTTAGTGGACGAAGTCCCACTGCAGGTGGTAATAGGTGTGTTCGAAAGGCATCATTTAGGCAATAATGAAAGCACTCTTGGCTTAGAAAGCTCCGATTTGGAAGCTGTCTTATCAGATATCTATTTTGCTGCAAATAAAATGAACCACATGAACATCGATGTAGATTTTGCTACAGAAATCACGTTAAATTTTTTGTATAATGTGTTTGACAGGTGAGTTTTTGTTTTTTTCTCCTGCCATTTGCGTCCACTGATCCGGTGTTATTATTTTTAGTAACAGAGTAGGCAATATACAAGTGTCGTCTGCAAAATTGTTACTGGGTATTTTAAGTAACTGTTCCTTACTTGATTTATACAAATTTTTCTTCAATTTATGTTCAGACCACAATAATTGTGTTACAAGGTCAAAGTTACATTCACTTCTGTCAAAACAATGCGACATAAGCAAATACCTCCATGAAGATGTTTATTTGGGAACTCACCTGCTCCTTTCATCGATTGAAAGCTGTTTTGAGAGTGTAAGTCATAATGCTGCATAGATTTTTGAAATGTGTTACATATTTACTGTTTTATTTGTGATTATAGTCTCCGGGATTATTAGGAGTTACCGAAAGTACATTTATTACATGGCTCGAAAGCAATCCTAATATATTCTCATGGACTCATTTACTTCATAGAATAAAATCATCTGAGTTAGGTGAGTGGGTCATGCGTAGACAAGCTGCACGTTTTTCATGAGGAAAAGGAAATATTTTAAGGGGATAGTCTTAAAAGTTTAAATGGAAGGATAAATAAAAAGAAAGTTATCATTTATAAAAATATATTTTATAATTTTTTGCCAGATTATAACTTGAAAAGAGCATATTTTTGGACAGGTGAATATTTATATGAAATATAATTAAATGAAGTTTCAAGTAATTTATTATGAAAACCTTTTCCAGCGATTCATCCAGTCAAGTGTTCAAGTTGCCGAACACAACCCGTTATGGGTCTCCTCTACAGATGTGTGAAATGTTCCCGTTATGTCCAGTGTCAGAAATGTTTCTTTACGGGTAGGATTAGCCACTCCCACAAATTGTCCCACACCGTAAAAGAATTCTGCGGCACTGATTATAACAAAGTACGGTTTAATTAAGTCTATGCGTTAAAGCTTTATCTAGAAGGAAATTTTGTACTTTTCAGATAAATTCCGGGGAAATTATCAAGAAAGTGTGTACCCTGTTTTGTTCTAAAAGGTCCGAACTTGGAAGATTTCAAGTTGTCGACCCTGTAAGGTGCGTAAATAACCTTTGACAATGGTTCGAACACTATTAGTTTTCTGTAAAATACTTTCTTTCGTAGAATTCTTATGCTTATTTATTAATGGACTCTGTTGAAGATCATTTATTTTTGAGATGTTATTTATAATGGGGGTGTTATTGGAATGAGTTGAGTTGTATTTGATGGATAGAAAATTTTTTGAGTCCGTACATTAATGGTCAAAGGTGGGATATACACTTTGCCACCTCCAAGGTTGCCACTTAGGTCCTTTGTTTATTATAATTCACATTAATTATATAACGAAATGTTTTCTGCGTATGTATGTTGACGTACCTGAAATTTTTCAGAAAAATTACTACATCTTCCCACTTCATAAAGTTACAGGAAGGAAGTGGTCACTATATAATTATCGAAAAATGCTGTGCTATATCTTTTATTAGGAACCTGTATCACGCGTATGTTCATAGTAGAATAAAATTTCTGTCATTGGGAGACCTAGGTATAATATGTATACAAAAATGCGATTGAAAGTTTACAGAGAACATTTCTCCCTTAGAAAGAAAGTCTTAATATCCCAAGATTTAAACCACATAAGAATGCATTATAAACTCTTCGGCATTGGAAAATCGAAGAGTACTCACTGATATTCTTCTAAATTTAGGTCAATTATAACCATGCCTTCTCTGTAGAAACACCAATAACTGAGACCTGCTGAAACTTTCACTGTTTAGACCCGGACTTACTCTCTCACATGATTCCTTCAAGAATGAGTGGTTATGTTAGACTATTGCATCGACATTCTTTATCTTATTCATAATCTTCTCTTGCTTTTATTTAATTAAAGTATACCACATAATAAATCATACTTTTTTCTTTCTTTTTTTATTTTGCCTTCTCTTTGAAAAGATGCTCTTTCCAATCTGAAATATCAGTTATATTGTTACTTTTCTTTTCGGACTCAATTCATCGCATTTATTTATTTTCTTTTTCTCTTTCACATTTTTGTTTTATTATTGTTGGTAACTAAGCTTTGAGCAAAGAGTAAGTAAATAAAAAATAATTTATGAATACTTAAAAGTGATGTACAAGATTCGTGGGTCACAGATTAAATATTTTCATAAAAATCAAAGACCCATGCCTTTATTTATTAGTCTCTGTAGAAACACCAATAACTCTCAAAATTCTCCTTTACTGCCTATCTTTACTCGCACATAATTCCTTCCAGAATGAGTGGCTTCTTTAGAACCTTAGACTATTGCATTCAACCACCTATTTAAAATATTCCATATGATAAATAATTGTAAGACCCTATTCTTTCTCTCTTTCTTTTATTTTGCCTTCTCTATGATAAAATAGGCAGATTCAATGCGCTTTTGAATCTGAAGTATTACTTTTCTTTTCTATGCCGCACTAAATTCGCCGCATTTTTTTTATTTTCTTTTTTAGTATCTAAGCTTTGCATAATATAATGAACTTGTATTTGGATCCTTAAGAGGGCACAGTTGTGGGTTCAACCTGTTTGTGTCCCAAACAGCAAGTAAATAAAAAATAAATTATGAATATTTAAAAATGATGTACAATGTTCGTGGGTTGTCCACCATCCCAGATTAAATATTTCCATTAACATCAAAGTAGCTTTATGTACTGGGTTATTCATTATAATTTGACACCCACCTACAGGGTTAATTTTCATAGATATAAAAAAAATGTCAATACAAAAGTTTCAATATTTTTTCATTATCTTATGCAAATGTCAGAAAAAACAAACGACGATCGCAAGCTGTCAAAATGACAGCAACATAATTTTTTTAAATGGAATCCCCTATATATTATTAGCTTAAATCGTAGATCTTTTTTTCCTGATTCCTGAAAGACTTAATATCGTTTTACACGATCTAAACAGAGAAAACCCCGATATTTTCAGCTCGTGTAGTAATAGGAAACTGAAAGGAAATACTGTCCGATGCATAGAAAGTAATGGAGGTTACGTCGAAAATGTTTGACATTAATTATTGATATTTTTATTGTTTGAATATTAAAATTTCATTATTTGACGTCTTTTTTCCTCAGTATAACCATATTTAACTTACGCTGCAGGTCATTAGTTTTGATTAGTTGTCAGAAGTAGAACATTGTTGAAACAATTGCAAACAAAGATAATATGGTTGTTACCAAGGCTTTAGTATTTATATAATAACTCTGTACTTTGCCCTTCACTTAACTGCTAATGTTTCTATTCTAAAACTGACATGGCATTGCAGTTGTTTAAAAGAGCAGGTAGTAAAACCACTGCCGCCTGGCGACTGCGAAGTCGAACCCTTATCGTCTCCTCAAACTCAACTGCAATCGATCATAAGGCACTTGGAATCGCAGAACAGGGAATTGCAACAGGTGTTGATTCTCGGTCACGCGAGCGACAGGGAAATGAGAAAATACCTCGAAGAGTACCGGGTATGCATGGAGAATCACATAAAAAAATTAAAGAGGTTGAAGGGCCAAATCAAAAGTTGCCCGGATTCTTCAAAGAACGCGAAAAGGGTCACCACGGAATCTACGCCTATGGTTCAATTGGGTCACGCGAGGAAACAGGATGCCGAAACGTTCGACTATTTCAGCCCGATCGTTCCTTATAACGAAAGAACCGGAAGTTACAACATTCCAGAATGTGATAGCAACGGATGCGTTGATTCGAAATCGAGCGTGCAATATACTATAGAAGACTTAAGCACTTGGATCGGTGGTAAGTCTAATTTACAAGAAGTTGGATTTTCACAATTGATCAATAAATATTCACCTGTCAGCTTTCGTACACAGCAGTTGCTAATGGCATCAGTTTTCTTCGCTTTTACTCTTTGAGTAACAGTTGCATGATTTTGCAGCCTTTAAGTCCCATATTGGTGTTCGGTTAATTGGTACTTTGTTATTGTAAAAATTACGTTTACAAAAATGTCAGAAATGATTAGCTTCGAGTTACTCCGAGTTAAAGGTCATTTCTTTCTTCATATTTTCACATTAATTCGGGCGATACATAATAAGGTCTGTCGACTTAGATAAATTCAAGATTTTTTTTAAGTGTATAAATTTGTGTTCGAACTGGATCCAGTTGATAAATGTTAATGCTTTTTCGATTGCTGTTCTATTTACTCCTATAGAGTTATCGTTAAAATTAACATAGATGGTCCTTTAATTATTAGAAGAAAACACAATCTTTGAAAATTTGTCAAAAACTGCCGATGAGTTTATTTGTCATAATCTCCTTTATATTCTTTTGAGCCTAGTTGGTTTTTTTCGTCTGCTCTTTCCAATATATTCTCTGCCGCATATGCATGGAATGTTGTAAACTCCTGGTATCTCAAACGAAATTTTGACTTTGACAGATCGAATATGTTGAGAGGTTTTCGAACAAGTGGTAAATCTGGTTTTGACCTTATTTTTCTTAAGAACCTTTGGTACGTGGTCAGTGATGTTTTGAATGTACGGAAGGATAACAGTGGCAAGTGTGGAGTTACTTACGGTCAAATTGTTCAAAAAACTTTGGTAACAGCTATGGGTTCTTCCTTAACACTCATCATCGTGAAGAAAGCTCTCCACACCTCCCACCTAAAACTAAAACTATGGAACCTCTATGTTGGTCATACTTTTGTTATGGTCATGGTCAAGAATCCCTACCAGATTTTCTTAGCCATTACACCTTACATCTGCTCTTCCCTCTAATAATTTCCACATTAAAGATATTAAGCGTTCATCACAACCTCCGCACACTCCACACTTGTCACTATTGTCCTGCCTCACATTCAAAACATCATTGACCACATATCAAAAGGTCTTAAGAAATCCCTCAACATCTTCGACCCCATCAAAGACAAAATTCCGTTTGAGTTTACAGCATTCCATGCATCTGCTCAAAGAACATGAAAGAGCGTTAAGGATAAAACAAATAAATTCATCAGCAGTTATCAAACACAATCACTTAACCGGTCTTGCATGAAATCAGATCTTCTACCAAGGAAAGCAACCTAACAATCTTAACCACGAATCATGTCTGTCACAAGGCAATATTCATGCCCCTCATTTAGCTCCGCCCCGCTCAAGCATTATATAAGCAGGTACAAGGTACAATGACAGCCAGTTTCAGTTAAGTCCTGAAGAAGCTAACACAGGATGATTAGAGAAACGTCTGTAGTACAGCAGTCTGTGAAAGTTTCTTTGAAAAGTATTTTTATTTCTGTTCTGGTTTGTTTTTTATCAAAAACAATGACAGTTCACCTTTGCATATGACCTTTTACCACGTTTACTTTTAGGGAACCCCTCCTTATCGCAGATGAACCTAACGGAAACCGATAAGGGTAATTATATTCCTAAATCTCCCGTCAAAGTCTTGCACAACGACTTGGACGAGGCCCTAGCAAAACTGCAACAGATTTTGGCCAATAATTTTTCGATGGAAGAGTCGCTGGGTCCAATGGACAATACCAATTTGAAATGCGCGGTGACAGAGGTAGAAGGAATGCTAACTTCCATCATCGATAACGTAGAGTTGAGCAGGAGCGGTTCCGCACAACCAGTGAGACGAAAATTCGATGAGACTGATTTTGTACAGAAGATAGAATAGTTCTTAAATTAGCTACAGAGAAATATAGCTATTTTTGCGTGCATTAGGAAAATGTATATATGGTGTTGAAAATATTAAGACTCTGGTAAATATTGACGTTACCTGGTAAACAATAAAATTTACCAGTTAAGATTTTATACTTTATATTTTTTAAAGACTGTTGTATTTTATATTCGAAGCATAAGTTAAAGGGGTAACATTGGGTTACTTTTATTAGTGCACTAAATGTGAAAAATATTTTAATAAAGTTTTTTTTATAAATTTTGTTATTTCTGTAATTACGATACCGAAACACATCCTTGGCAACATTAAACTTGCACAAACGAGTCTTCCCAATGGAAGAGTTAGATCGTTGATTGAAATGCTTACAAATCACAGGAAACAGGGAAAGAAAATGCCATTTAAAATAAATAAACTTTTTATTTGTTTTAAAATGCAAGAGACATGAATTTAAGCAGTTTATAAAATCTTTTACATTTTTTTAACATATGTTAATAGTAAATAACAAAATACGTATAACTTGATAACGTGCATAATTATTAATATCTGTTACAAAAAAATATATTTCTCTTTAAACCTTTTTTCGATTATTACTTATTGCACAGTTTACGACGACATTGAAAATATTTTGCTCGAATGGCTATAGCCGAAGCACTTAAGTTCCACACAAATTTTCAAATTGTTATTTGAAGAGTGGAAGTAACACAGGTGGCAAATTTTATTCTGTTAATTTATTAATATAAAAAAAGTGCAACTCAAACGGAAAACTAATATTAAGGCAAACTGATGTAGCTAATAAAACAAGTGAAAATAAAAATTATAAAATGAAAGAAAAAAAAGAAACGGGGTGAGTGCCGTTTAATATTTCAACAATGTTTTAACAAAATGGCGTTAAAAAATATTGCTCATATATTTTGGAACTTTTAACAATAAAAATAAATACATTTTAAAGAAAAAAGATCTCTCTAGCCTATGCTTCTTGCAGTTTCTTATTAGTCTTGAAGCAGTAGATTACTCACACAGGGTAACAGAGAACAAAGATATTTTATTTTCTGATTGAAGTGCAGTTCAGCTTTTAGCAAATCTTTCGGTTTTACAAATCACAGCTTTTGTCTTTACATTTGTAGGATTATCTCTGTCTATCTGCATTATGACTGCTTTGCTGATTTAAAACTTTAAGTGTTTATAACAAAGTCTCAATATATCCCAAAATTCAAAATTGGCCATATTGACCACACCACAAATGGTGGGTTGCACCTTGCTGCAAAATTCTTGTCGCAGGACATAAAGTTATGCCTGCTGATTAAACTTAATCTGAATTCAATCGGAAAAGCCTTGAGTCAGCAAGAATATTAGAACAAACAAAATATGTTTGTTTTTATTTTGACCACCAGACGATCTATTATTGGTAAATACACTATTTAAACAGCAAAGCAAACAGGAAGGAATCTCATTTGCCCCATTATAACATATAAGCACAGGTGTTTAGGGTTCATGGACAAGCAACATACCTGACTTATCCCCTTTTAGAAATTCTGTGGCTCTGTCTGTTTCATTTGATTAAACTCCGGTTGTAATTTAGCTTCCCTACTTATGGCAAGTTCCTTTTATCAGAATAAAATGTTTTGCCAGCTTTCTTTTTAGCGATAAGTATATCCAACTATTTCCCTGTCACTGCAAAAGTATTAATACAAGTTGCCTTATAGACTTGAACAACATTTCCATGTGTCTAATGCCGTCTTTTCTACGCTCATTTTTCATATTAATATTTTCATATTCTACAATAATTTTATAAATTATTTAAGTATTCATATATATAATAACGTTGTAAAATTTGTTTGTTGTTTATTTGTTTTCTAACTAACCAGTAGGTTTCGCTAATTTTCTCTGGGAATAACTCAATTTCAGAAATTGTGGCACTTACCACCTTTGTTACTCCCACTCCTCATTTGAACTTTTTTTCGACAGTCTGACATTCGCAAAGGAAATTAATGCTTTATGGTCCAGCCAGTGGGATTTAGATATGAATGAATTGAAGCAGTTCATGAATATAGATACATATCACCCGGACCATAAATAGCGTCTCGTTCGCAAAATAATTCCAACATGGCAAGTAACGTTAAATTGTACCATTAATTCTTGCTACAGCATTAACTTTCTCACATTAATGAGCACCATCAGGACTACGCAGATCGCGTTTCAGACATAACCTCAAAACGATAGTACGTCGGTTAATGTGTTACGGCTTCGCCAACAAATAAGACAACAAAAAAAAACATTAATTTAGGACTAGAAAACGTCTGAAACATGGTTGTCTGCTCGCTTCTAATATTGTTTAAAAGCGCCACGTGGAAAATTTAATTCCGCTTCGACGAGTTTATCAGATACTTGCAGCAGTGTGTGAGCAGGTGCTTTTCTCCGGCAACGTCGTGGGGCGACGCCATTTCCCTAGTGTAAATGTCCAGGCCGTATTGTCCTTCTTCGGGGAAACTGATGTTGAACGTCACGATATCGTCGGAAACATTGTGGGATACGAATTTAGATAAGCGTTTCTCCTCGACCCCGTTCTTGTGCAACGTCGCCATGAAATCAGTCAGCTGTCGCGACATCCGGAACTGAATTTCTAATTCGCGGCCGGCAAATATCAGGGCGTCCTGGAACAAAAACATTGTTAAGTATACGCTAAAATCCCATTGAATTTAAGAAGACGACGTTTGCCCTCTGCTTAGGTTTAAGGTTGGGAATGAAAAGGCACGTTGTATTCATTGTAAGATGTTTTTCGAATTACATTTTTTTAAAATATTTGTTTTGTAGCAATGTAATTTTAATTTTTATGCTCTGTGAATGTTGTCGGTAATGCGTCGGTGGTCTGTGTGTGCGTCGTTCGTTCGGCAAGCATGACTACCGTTGCATCAGAAATAAAGTTTTAAAATTATGAAAAACTCGTTTCTTCGACAGGGTTGCAACTAGTAAAAATTAAAGAACTATGTTTTCCTTTTTTCAGAGTTCCTGATATTTTACACAATCGTGTCCCAACCCTGTAATTGATTTGCTAAAATGGCCCACAAGGCGGTGAAATGACAAACTGCAAGCAATCGGTAAGTCTGTAGGGGCCTATAGGGCTAAATTATATTCGTTGATACGTTTTGATTGAGTTATTTGATACTGAAGATTAAAATGTATGTGTTATTTTTTTGCGTTTTTTCTATAGGATATTTCGATAATCTTTTCTATGTGCGAGATAATACATAATCTACCAACTGTTATATCCGGGAGAGTAATTAAACACGGAACCGAACTATTTCCTATTTTCTATATATTTCCTACATTCCCAATTCAAATGAAATGGGTACAAAGTTGTAAAAATACAAAATTACATTAGATTTCAAACAACCGTAGGATTTCACAGATTTCACGGACTTCAAATTCCATGCATTTCTAAATGATTTTATAGGTTTCGACGATTTAAAAAAATAATTTTGAGATTATGGTAAAAATGTTTTATTCCGAAGCAATTAAAATATCATTAAAATGAAACCTCTTTTTCAAAACTAGTGTTGAAATAATAAATATAGATATTGTAAATACCAAACGTTTTCAAAACGAGACCTAAAAATAATATTTTTTACATTTTTTTGTCAAAAATTGGTTTAATGGTAAAATTTTTCTTATTCACTTCAACTGTAAATTTTCTTCATAGTAAAGGGAATGTTTAAGATATTTAGGCAATTGTTAACATGATTTAATGAATAAAATAGCAAAAAAAAATAAGAATTAATTTATTAATGAAATGTCAGTATCGTGTAGTGCCCATTTCTAAAATTCATCTAAAAATTGTCATTTTTATCACAACAAATGATTCTAATTCCCTCATAAATTCTTATTTCTATGATCAAACTAAAAAATTGTCACTTTTCTGATAAATCTTTTAACATTGAATTTCGGTTCAATCACTTTTGTCGTTAAAATTTAACGAATTTTTGAATTTGAATTTATGACTGGAGCTCCATCTACCTTGAGATTTTTGAAACGTCTAGTGAATCGAGTTGAAAATACGTCATCTGAGTACAGTTTACAACCATGGAGTTTATAAAATAGCGCAGTGTGATCTTAGAATTTATTTTATGTAGGCAAATTTGAAACTTGTTTCTCGTTGTTGACGCTTTGAAGTTATAGTAAAATCCTAGTTTCAAAATATTGTAAATTTTAAATTAAAAAGTAACAGTTTCCCAAAAAAAAATTATCAATGAATCATTGGTTAGTTTTGGTCAGTTTGCAAATTTAGTTTGTGTTTGTTTTTTTTTGGATTTTTTAACCTTCCTATACTCTCTGATACTCTCCTCCGGATACGTAAGCTAGTACAACCGAAACACCTTCCCAGGAACACTGGGTCCAGGTGTTCCTCAAACTCTTGTGGTTTCCAACTATTTGTCAAAATTGCTAAGGGTGCAGTAAAACGTCATAGTTATTGGGATTTTGTGGGATTAATTTAACCAAAACTAATTCGGCGTGAGCAAAGCAATGAGCTATTGCTGAGTAAGGTGGTCCCAAGATTTAGACGCCCACGAAATAGCATTTAATAAATTGGTTTGAACAACGTCGCAACCACATCTTAAATAATCTTTGAAACTGGAATCAAAAATGATTTTATTTATAGGACTGAGATAACACCTTGATCTAAAGGTGTTGTATTGTCTGGAAGCAATGCTAGCTTTACCGCCCTTCAAGTCTTGCATAGTAGGACGTGTTTTGCAGTTTTCCAGTACAATTAGAGTCTTTTTCTTTTGTGCAGTTCACCTGTCATCCACGGTTTTGTATTGTTCTCGTATGTCACAGCCAAAACCTTTATGTTCAATTTTAACTTTTCCGTCATATTTGCTGCTAGTAGCTTTTGGCACTTTTCCGCAACTGCATTTGTCACCTTTAAATCTCATAGTCTTGTCCGGGTTCATTTTGGAAAATAGACCAGTTTCATCGGTGTTGAATATGTCGCTATCTTGGTATCCTTCTGTGATTTTGGGCCAAATATTTTTTAACCACAATGAGGACCTGTGGGTTGCTTGTTTCAAGCACAATTAACGTTATGCATGACTTCTACTGCATAGGTTTACCATTAAAAACTAGGAAAATTATTATTATCTGGACCTATCATAAATCTAAAAGCAGGAAAGTTTGCTGAACAGCTTGGCATTATCGATTTTTCAAGGCTTCGGAAGGATGGTTGGGGAAGTTCAAACAGAGACATGGTATAAATTATGGAAAGAAGCCCGTCGACAGAAATGTCACTAACGATTGGCTGGAGAAGACGTGGCCAAAACTAGCAGAAAAGTGCCCTGCTGACGACATTTTTAATGCTGACGAAACTGGTGTTTTTTACAAAATGACTCCAGATAAAACTCTTGGAAAGAGGTGACAATTCAACATTCCTATCGTACTGCAGGACTTATTACCGAGACAGAATGCGAACAGGACTTGGAAGAAGATCAGTCACTAAGCGAGTGGATAAAGCAGTTTCCAACAATAATTACGTTTACAAGTGAGGAGTTCCAAGATTTTATGGTGATGGATCAGGATTTGCCTACAACAGCAGACTTGACAGAGGAAGCCATATTACAACAAGCAAGAAAGGGTGAGGAAGAGCACCAAGAGGAAGAAAAACATGAAGAAGTTGATCTGGGACCACCACCAACCATTCAACAAGCCCTAGATTCAGTTAAGCTGCTAGAGAAATTTTTTATGTATCATGGGGAAGATGGCTCTCTCGAAGAAATGGTGAAAGTACAAGCCAAAGTAAAAAATTCAAAAGAAAATGACCAATTATTTGAAACATTAAATGTAATTCTTAAATATTTATACAAAATGTTTCTAAGTAGATGTTAAAATATGTATATAAAATAATTAAATATTATAGAACACATATTTCAAGTGCCTATAATTTTTTATAATGAAAAAAAAGCAGTCCGTTTAATTTCGCTATATAGAGTTTCGACTGTACTGCCAACCCTTTGGCTTATAATTTTGTTTTCCCTGACATGTAAAAGTTGGTTTAAATTTTTCGATTTTGCCGGTACCACGGTCGTCGGATTGGAAATAATCATCGCGAAATAAAAGCGCAACATCCTGTGCGCGAACGATAGAGTTAAACATTGGTATTGCTCACCTGGTGTGTGATCGGTACCAAACCGAATAGCCTGGTCGCTTTGGTCGGTCCCCATTCGCCGCTAGCGCAGTCCGGCAAAGGCACCATGACGGTTTGCAAGTCGTCGCAGCAGATCTTGAACTTGCAGACGCTCTTAAACTTCATGGGCTCGCCCGTCAGGTATTCTTTGGGGGTGACCGCGTTGGCGAATATGTCCAGCAAAAAGGCGCCGCTGCAGGGGGCGTGGACTCTAAACGCGACCGTGTTTCCTACCACCGACTACAAGAAAAACGCAATATAAAGTCTGTATACTTGTATACACTTGTATACTAAGAGTGGCAAAATCCAGATATTTTCCATTGTCTATTACGTCCCGGTGTCGTACACGCGACAGAGATAAAACCAATTACCGGATAGTTACAGCAGTTACAGTATGGTTTGGTTAGTTGTCGCCAGACATATTACACAAAGAACGTCGAAATGCCCTGAAGAGTCGCCAGTAAGTATTAAATCTTCTTAAATGTTTTCCAAAGGGCACCCACTGACAAGTTTATCCGTGTTGAAATGTGTTTCCGAAACTCCGAAATTAAGTTTGAAAACAGTGGCGAGAGTAAAGCAAGAAAGTGTTAATGGTGCTAAAAAAGAACATACTAGAATAAGAGATCAGAGAATTGAGAGTCCGAGAAAAGTGTGATTCGAAATCTTATTTATGCCCTAATTATAAAAGGAAAATATGTTTTTTTTTTCGTAGCACTGGTTCTGATTATGAAAACATTAAAGAAATTGACAATAGAATCATGGAAAAACCAGATGTCATCAAAACGCGTAAAGTTTTTGCGAGAGTAGGTCGACAGTATGACTTCTGATGCATCTTTAGACGTTGTCTTCTTCGAAGAAACGTGGATCTAACAATATGGAATCAGCATACGGACTAGGCACGATGAAAATCCCCGTTCAAGCTGGCAATAGCAACGGGTTTTTGGATGGAAGTGAGCTAGTCTTTCCCACAAAAAACAACCGTTATGACTTCCACGATAATGTGAAGTGCACGATATCTTTCTAAACTTTGGTAAAATGGATCGACAAGAATAAAAGAAATTATCAATTGGCTACGCAGTAAGCGGATTAATTAACCAGAAAATGGCCTACAATGTGAGTTGTTAAAAATTGTCAAAAAATTATAAAACAAATTTGTCGTATGCTACAAACAGAATAATTGCTTAAATGCATATTTAATGCCATATAATTGGTGTATGATCAGATATTTTTTATGAAAAATATTGTAGGTGAGACAAGGCACGATGATACTGCAATAATATCTACTCTGATACTTTTTATAAAACTTCTGTATTCCTCCCGCGTCGATTTTTGCTGATTCGAACTTGCTAAAGTTTCGCCAATCATCCTGTGGGCTTCTTCAGAGCTTGACTGAAACTAGCTCGCATTTTACTCTGTACCTGCTTATATATTGTTTGAGGGGGCGGAGCTAAATGAGGGACATAAACACCGTCTCGGATGACTGATTCCCATATTGGTGAAACCGGACGAAAAATATCAACTAGGCTCAAAGAACACGAAAGAGCCTTACGACTAAGACAAATAAACTCATCAGCTGTTGCTGAATACAATCACAAAACCGGACATAAAATTTTATTCGATAAAACTAAAATTCTTCCAATTCTTCTAACAACGAAAAATCCGAGAGTCTATAGAAATCTATAAACAACCTAACAATCTTAACCGTGACTCTGGTCTTTACTTGTCACCAACATGGGAATCGGTCATCCGAGACGGTGTTTATGCCCTTCATTTAGCTCCGCCCCCCCCCCCAACCAATATATACAGCAAAAACCGACGCAGAAGTTTTGTAAAAAGTATTACAGTAGCCTGTTTAAGTTTCTTTGAAAAATCTACTCTGGTAGTATCTGAATCAGTTGTATTACACATACACAAAAATACATTAAAAGAATACTGGAAAAAAGAGAATACACTTTTTATTAGCTTAGCTTAGGAATGAATCTAGTTTCATCTTACCTGCATTACGAATCTTTTGAGCGAAACGCTTTCGAAAGTATCTCCATCGCTGTCGTAAAATTTGAGGTTGTAGTGGAAAATCAGGCTTCCCTGCATGTGAGACGGCATCGCGATTTTGACCGTTGCCGCACCTATAAATACTTCAAGATTAGCAGATTACGCGACACCATACACGTTTGCTATTGTAAAGCTTTTTTGAAACATAAAAATCAGATATTGTGTGATATTGCCATAGACCATAGGTTCAGGTATTGGATAATATTATGGCATATCTGTTATAACTAAATCTAATATTACCAGGGTGAGCAATAAAATTTAAGCTAACATTCTCAACAGTTGACACTTCAGGAGCTATGTAGACCACATATACGTACATATTTTTAGACTGTACATACCAAATGCTTCCCACATCACCAATAGCAGACTGTTTACAAAAGTCACATCAGTACTTGATGATTTTATTACGGGACCCAAGTTCACCGCCTGGTTGGTAAGTTATTAGATATACAAAGGTTAGAAGCAACGACTCCTACACACTACCAACCAAAACAACTGAAAAATGACGACAGAAAACTCCCAATAATATTCCCAAAGCCAAACGGTACCGTCAGATGCAGGAAGTATCATTAAATGTTTAGATGGTCATCGTATGAGCGAACTATAACTGGGTCAACTAACCTGTTGAATCTGTGAACATCACTGCCTTCGTCTTAGGATCCGAAAAATACAACCCGTATCGGAAGAACAACGACCTGACGAACGGGAGTTCCTCAAAGTCCTGAAGCTGAATTGGATTTTTCAGCAGCTGCCATTCCGATTGAAGCGGGAAGAATTCGTATATGAACTCTTTGGGGTCGGTCAGGAAGTAGTGATCGTCGTATTCGTACCTGCGAAGTTAACGTCAGCAAGCGGGACGCAAATTTGTCGACCTGTCAACCTTAAGCTGTCCGACTTGGTCTTGTTACCGGCCTTCGGTACTTCTTTGGCGTTAACTAAGTGCCTTGCTCCCCAATTGCACTGGACGAACCTCCAGGCTCCTGCTACGTAGACCGCGTTCCACGAATTCCTGAATCTGTTATCTTCGAATCGAACACCGGGTTGGTAACCCGCCGACTTGGAGTATCCTTTGATCACGACGCAGTGCAGGCCGGCGTAACTACATGAAATTTGATGTCAGTCAGCTTTGGTGTTCGGGAAAGCGAAGGTCGTCATACCTGCAAAGCCTTTTGAACAGTACGTGGTAGCTCTCTGTGCCGTTTTTGATGCCGCGGAGCAACCCCATTGGCGTATCGCCCCTAAGGTTATCGTCGAAATTCATATTGTTCAAATTTTTAACCGTTATCCATCTGAATATCGTTCTGAAACAGGTTAAGCAGTGCCGGTACTGTCATACGTCCACGGTACGCGATAACGTACCTCGCTTTCTCTATGTCGGATCCGCATCTACCGACCAACTGCCTGACGAGGTCGGTGAACGATTTTTGATCTTCCTGGGCTACCGATATGGCGATCTGATCGATATGCGCGAACTCATTTGGGTGACTATAAATCTAAAAATGAAATTTTTAATTAACTGACAAAATTTGTATACCGTAAGATGTGTAAGATGTCTGCATTACATCGATATAGGAGTCAAACCAGCAACGTCAAAATTTAGATTATATACTTCGACCAGAAATATAGCGCTTTTACAACCAACTCCTGCCTACTGCCGAGCAGGCCCTTACCCGTAACCATCCTAGGAACTTATCTACCTACACTAACAAGTATGTTTTCAATCTTTTTCACCAAGCAATTCTTGAAACAGGTACGTAAAAAAATTAGTGCAAAGTAACAATTTATTAGGTTCTATTTCAGTACATTTCTACCTACTATCATTGATATACAAAGTATTAAATATAATAATATTAAAGTATCAGTCACTTAAAAAATCTTCACCTAGTCGCCAGCTTTGTGCTGATATTTTAGATACTTCTTTGCCGAATTGCGTTTATGGTACTATCACTAAATTCTGGTGCAGTGTTATTTATTCTTTCAGCTCAGACCAAATCATCTCAGATAATCTCAAGATTTCATGTCCGTTTTGTTATGCCATCGAATCGATTAAGTGTAGTCTTTACTAAAATGTTTCATTTTTAATAATTCTAGAAGTTGTTGTTTCGTGTATCTCTCTTCAAAGTAGAAATCATTTTAGTACAGAAATTCTTTACTTTCTTCTTTTTTTGAAGATGTATTTGGCTGAATGATACGAGGCATTATCCAATACAATAAAATTGGCGATAGTTTTGGCAACAGTTTATGCTCAAACCAGTCCTAAAAAAAGGCATCTTCCAACCAACCATTTTTGGACCCAGCGTGCAGAATTGTTATACTGTTTCCATGTAACTTGTTACTGTTATCACACCATCCTTTTTTTTTACTGTGTTGTGAGTGTCGATCCACGTTTCGTCTAAATACACTATTGGCCTATTTTGCTCTCGAAATTTTGCAATCGCATTTAAATAATCCACCGCGAAATTCTTTGAGATTCCATTAGCACATGACGTTCATTAACTGTTTGGAACTGAAAATCCATTTTCTTCAAAAAAGTATGCAACGACTCTTTGGCACAACTAATCTTTAAGCCTGTCAGTACTTTTTTATGCAGTTCTTCTAAGGTTAAAACAGTATTCACTTTATAAGCGTCGTAGATTATACGCCTAATTAGATCTGCGTGTTGCTCTTAAAAACTGACTATCCCATTGGGAACAATTTTTCTTACAGTTGACTTCTGAACTTCCATCATGTCACTTGTTTTTATTGCTGCCCCTACTTCTCCTTCTGAATATCTTATAAAATTGTAAACTTTCGAAACAATTTGTTTAGCATCCGAAGACAAATGGCTCCGTTTTTTTATTTGCTGAATTAGTTCGTTTTCTAAATTGTTATTGGGTTCGACTACCATCTCAACTTCGTCGTCAAATTCTGCGTTGTTTTCCACGTCTTCTAATAGCTGAACATCTGCTTCATTGCACAGTCTCCACATTTTAAGCGTTAAAAAACAGTAACTTTCAAAAAATATTTAATTGTAAGGTTCTAATAAATATTTATCTGTATTCTAATGACGTGCCTTTATCTACGGCGAATAGTCTTAAAAAAGACAAATAGAACAACTATGTAGAAGACACAAAAATACAAGAAAAAGAATTTTGTTAATCGACAGGCACACAACACAAAAATGATTATTTTCAAACTTACCTGTAAGATAAATAGAGTACAGGTACTTATCCTTTGAACTATCCGGTGAAAACAGCCTCGCAGGGTCAAAGCTCGAGGATCAGGTGTATCTCAGGAGATGCTCCCGCCCAAATGTAGAAAACACTATTCTATTGAGATTAAGAAAGTTATAAACAATGTTTATTTGACTCCCATTGAACGTGGTGCCAGCAAGCAAGCATCTTTAGAAGAAACGGCCACATTGACGAAAATTCCAACATCAACTGTATGGACAATTGTGAATAATCCCATTTCATCGAGGAAAAAAAGAAGCAATGCTGACATTTTCTCGAGTGTAGATGAAAGTGATCAAGATATAATACGGCTTAAAATTTACCAGTTATACGAGGAACAAAGCATGCCTACGTTAGATACCTTAATTAGGAGGCTTGAAAAAGATGAAACCGGTGTTAAATGTGGCAGAATTACCTTATGGAAGTTTATTCAACACATGGGTTTTAGATTTAAAACAGTTAACAAAAGGTAAGTTTTAATGGAATCTTTTAGAATTCGGAAATGGCGACTGGAATATCTAGAAAAAATTAGGAATTACAGAGAACAACAAACGCCAATTATTTACCTGGTTCGACACTTATGATACCCCGGAAGGATTGGGCTGACTCAACTGATAAGTGTAAAACAAACGCGCCATCAAAAAGAGGTAAAAGAATAATTATTTTGCATGCTGACTCTAAAGATGGTTGATTCCAAATGGACTTTCTCTGTCTGTGAAAAATATTAAAGATTCTTCTCTGGATTACCATGAAGACACCACCGCTGATTTATTTGACAGTTGGTTTAAAAACAAACTAGTTCCAAACATTCCTCCTAATAGCGTAATTGTGATGGACAATGCACAGTAGACAGTTGACTAAAACCCCTTCCTCATGTGACACAAAAGCAACAATCCAAAACTAAATGTATAATAACCACTTTTATTTTCACGAAGATTATACCAAAAAACAATTAATTGAGGTTCTACATAAGGAATACGTCTGTGATTATTATGCAAAAAATCTTTTCGTATTAACTCCAGAGCCCTCAAACTTATACAAACCGAAGTTTTTAACAACCCTCCACAAAGTTGGGCAAATTCTGTTAAACATATAGGAAAAGCAGAGCAATAATATAGACCAAATAATAATTAGAACAGGCGATGATAGCGATAGTGATACTGCTATATTATGTGAATAATTGTAAGTAATTTAAGTAGGTAATAAAAATAATTTGTTATTTTATTTTAGATAGATAAATACACAAATAAATAAATATTCTTTAGTATCTTTCCTAACAAAACCCCAAATAATTAAATTCTAAGGAAAGTACGGACCTGCTCGGCCATATTTCATTTTTCACTTTTTCACTTTTTTATATCTATGAACAGACTTTACATAAATACGTACTTCCTGGAAAAATCACAGTCAAATACGAACATATTGCAGTTTAGATTAAACTCTTAAGGACGATACATATCACCTGATGTTAAAATAAACGCTTGTAATTCGAAAATACCACGCAGTATTAATGCTTGATAAAATTCAAAGCAATAAATGCACTATATTTTTGGTCGTATTATACCAGTATATTTTATACGCTTGTACCTGATATTTGCTAAGGGTGGGTGGGGCTGGTGGGGGTGCGTGAATCGGGTAGGGCTGCGCTTCGTCGGTGTATCCGTCGTGGTGGTCCAAGTAGAGTGATTCCGCTTGCATGTATTCGCTTCTTTTCTCGTTGATGAGTTCCAGCATTTCGTGACTTTGTTTTTCCACTAGGGCTGCGGTTGCGGCCCTAATTACAAAAAAAACACATTAGACGAACTGTTGGTGACCCAGGAAACATGTTCTATAATAGGTAGGACCGACTTTTTTAATTTTAACTGAACGCGATAGATTTTGTGCGAGGCTAGGCCGCGTGACGTCAGTAGCTAGACACAGCAGACGACTATCGAGTCGGTTGGAAACCTACGGAGGTTAGAAAAAAAATTGTTTCTATTAAAATGAACTTTTTTTTTATTTTCCTAATTGTCACATTTTCATATAGAGGGTGGTAAAATAAAGTTAAATTTTTTTATATAGGACACTTTACATTTTCCATACATACATAGTCCTGTCACAGACCAATATATATGAGTATAGGTCTGTGATGTACCGTTGCAAACTTCAGGTTATGTTTAAACCATTATTGTTGGGTTGCCTATTAACTTTTTAAACTTTTTTCCATCTATCATTTTTACGAAAATAATGCTTTTCTTAAGGCAATGATGAAATTTTTAAATATTTTCTTAAAATACGCGGTCTTGTCACGTTTCGCAAATTGATACTTTTTTCAATTTTGTTAAATGAGCCACTCTGTATATTATTGGATTTTCGAATACCCACTTTGATAGCTATTTCAATTATATGACACAGTACGGGTGTCTGGCAGATAAAATTAAAAACTGAGTATAAAATTTAAATTATTAAGCAACGGTTTTAGAGCATTATTACGAATTCATATTAAAAACAGAATATTAAGCTTTGCACAATGTTGCCAAATTTCCAAAATTACTTATTTCTCCTTGTAAATGTTTACTTTTTTAAATTAACACTATCTACTAATGCATATTATTTACTACTAAAATTAATTAAATTAGTTTTTCAATATGTCCCCTGTTTTGAAGAATACACGTTGTATATGGTATTTCTAAATGAGACGTAATTCGTTTATCTTTGTAAGCCACATCTTTCAATGTGCCTCACAAAAAAACTCCATCGGGGTCAAATCTGGACTCTTCGCTGGCGAAGAGATTGGTTCCCTTTTGTCCAATCCACTGTCTGAAATTTTCGTTTAAAAAACGAATGATTGCAGTACTTCGATGCTAAGGAGCGCCATCTTGGTGCCAAATTAAATTTGGATGCTCTCTTTGGGGAATATTATTATGTATAGGTGGCCGAATTTCGTTCTTCAATAAGTTTAAGTATTGTACGGATGTTAAATTTTGTTGGTGAAATATGGGTCCTAAAATTGTAGATCTCCAGATTGGATCTTTGCCCCTGCTTGTTTACAACAAAAACACTTTTTTTTTTCTGACGTTGGAAATATTGATTCCAAATTATATTTTGAAATATGTTATCTAAAAAATGCTTATTCATCATTATATTGCAAAATTCGAGTCTCAAATTAAAATCTGCTGCTTGTAGTTTTTGTACTGGTATGAATTTAAATGGCCTATAACTGTTAACTTTTGAACATGTCTGAAGTGTGACTCGTCTTCGTCAACACCTGAACCGGCAAGGCGGTTGGAGGTCTCTGGAGTATTTTCAAAATGCAGAAGAATATCTAGCTGCATATTTTCAACGAAAACCGTTCCGTTCCTACTTTGTTTTCGCTAAAACACTGCCATTTTCTCGAAACTGCTCGTATATTTTGGCAAATTTTGTTTTCTTGGCAATCGCCTATCGGGAGATTTGGCTCTATATTGTCTGAGAGCAAGAGCTGGACTTCTGTTATTGGCGATGTAACATTCTAATAGATCAACTTTTTCCTCCTTGTTATACATTATACAAAATAGACTCAACAAAAATGCAACTTAATAAAATATGTACAAAATAGTGGAAGTCCGAAAAAATACTCTTAAAATATTGTAATATACTTATATTTGTTAAAAAATCAGTAATATTACCACAACAGAAAACTACTATTGTTTTCAAAGCTGCAAAATGCTTCAAAATTAACAATATCATCAATTTTGTGTTTTGTGTCTTTCAACAGGCAGGTTTCTATATATTTTGGTCTATATTTTTTAAAAGTTTTTTCCATTTACAAGATTCTTAAATTATGAATGTAAAAGAATTCATGTATTATTGGAAAATAATTGCCAATTAAGCCAAAACGATAAGTCAGAGACCCGTACTATGCTATACAATTAAAATTGCATTTTGTGAAAAGTGGCAACACTGCGTATTTTAAGAAAATATTTTAAGTTCGATCATTGCCCAAAGAAAAGCATTATTTTCGTAAAAATAATAGATAAAAAAAGTTCCAAAATTTGTTAAGCAACCCAACAATGATGGTTTAAATATAACCAAAACTATTTGGGAAATACTATTTACAAAACTTCTGGATTCCTCCTGCTTGGGTTGTTTTCGAGTCGAACTTGCTAACGTGAGCCTTCCATCTAAAATTAAAATTATGGAAACACTACTGATACTTTTGTTATTTGGCCTCATGGTCAAGAAAGCCTAGTAGATTTTCTTACACATTTATACACACTAACATAAGTTTTACCATTAAGTTCGAAACTAACAATTACCTTCCATTCTCAGATATTCTTATCAATAGAAAACCAGACCTAACATTGGGTCACATCACCATCCGGCCGAGAAATCATCGGTTCTCATCTCTCCTGTTTACAGAGCCGTTAAACTGTCTCAACTCCAGTCACTGAACCCAGAATTAAAACACCTTACCTCTCTCTAATAATTTCCACATTAAAGATATTAAGCGTTCCATCACAAAATACACGTCACTATAACCTTCCAATAGCAATCAGGTCAAAAGCAATCCTACAGTTGTCACTGTGGTCCTTGAATACATTCCAAACATCACCGACCACATATCAAAAGTTCTAAAGAAACACTTCAAAAATCTCTTAACATCTTCGATCTGTCAAAGACAAAATTCCATTTGAGATGCCACGCCATGCATATGCGGCAAAGATACATTGGAAAAAAATCAACTAGGCTCAAAGAACATGAAAGAGCATTAAGACTAACACAAATCAACTCATCAGCAGTTGCCGATCACAATCACGAAACCGGACATAAAATCTTATTCGACAAAACTACAATTCTTGCATGTAATCAATCTGTGGAAGTTTTTTTAAACAAAAAAAATAACAATACGTTGGTCTAACGTTTATATAACAAAGTACCCTTAATTTTAAGCAAGGAATCACCCCCTTATGTTTTTTGTTTTAAAACACTCTGCATACCATTCAAAATTAAACAGGAATTACAGTGTATAAATGTTAATTCCGACTATAGCGGTTGACCTTTAAATTGGGTCCACTTTTATTACATTTTTTTCGATGCCTTATCTTTACCCGCTTTAATTTACTCGTTACTTTTACGTTCGTGAACTTTCAGTGCTATTATATTTCAATAACAGAATTCTAAAAACAGCGCCGCAAGAAAAGCGGTTTGTTTATTGTATATTAGTTTATTTATGTCGTATTAATCCAGTCAAAATAGACAAAAATAAGTCAAAACTTAGACAAAATTCGCATGCATAATATTATACATGAAATGTCAAAAGTCTCCTTCCATTCGAGTTTTCAAAGTCAAACTTACAAGATTTTTCTCGAAAACGCAAAATTTTATCGTCAAAAATAGGTCATATAAAAGTTATAGATCATACAATTCTCTACAAAAATTGTGCAGGCTCTTTTTTTCTTACGACTGACTATTCGTGAGATATCGCCACCATTATTAGAAAATTAATATTTTACATAATACGCAGACATTTCCGCAGGTAATGGCGCTTTTAGTGTAAACCGAGATATCTTACGAATGGTGAGTTGTAAGAAAAAAAGTGCAATTTTGTACGTCTGACCTTGAATAAAATTGTTTGCATAAGTCGAATGGGAGGGGATTTTTGACATTTCATATATAATGGTGTATTTTTAGCTCTATGCGAAATTTGGCTAGGTCAAATGTTTATTTTGATTGGATTATTTACTGTTTTATATGAGTAACTGGAAATTAATGACAGAGTAATAACAACGTACTTACAGTGTTATAAGTATATATGAAAAAAAAACTCAATTTGACGTTTGACCTTGAATGATTTTTTTACACAAGTCGAATCGATTAAACGTGTCTGCCAAATGTTTATTTTGACTGCATTGTTTGATCAATATTCAACCGTGTCAATATACCCGAGGTATTGGTTACATTGATAACATAATTCGCCTTGTAGTATTACCTCTCGTGTTCCAGCATTTTCCTCGTTAACGATTCCTTTTTCTTGTCCCTCCTCAACGTCATGTTCTTCTCCAGATCTTCCCTCTCTTGTTGATGTCTCAGCGTCAGTATGTTCTGATCGTCCCGTTTTCTTTTCATCTGCATTTCCCTTTCGAACCTGCTCGTCAGTCTTTCCAGTTCTTTTTCCCATTCGTCCTAGATCATTCGAATTGGAACAAACGGTAAACAAATTAAAGACGCACCTATATGTATCGTGACCCATTTTTCAATGTAAAGGTTTACATTTAAATAATAAATCAACGTGTGACAGTTCATAATTACAAGTTTAGCAGTGGCCCTCGGCTACAAGAATACTACTTGCCTAACGGAATGTGGTTAGTTGTTGACAAAAATACCGAAGAAACCCAGATTTCACCGATAGCGACAGTAAAAGATAAATTTGCTTCCTAATAAGCTATAATGTATAGGCCCCCATTTGATGGTGTCTTTTTTGTTGCGCTGAATATGCACAGTTTTCCTTTCTAGTTAAATAGATGGTCGTTTAAGTGACATTACGCATAAACATAAACGCATACTACTATTGAAAAATTTCTGCTTTGCAAAATATTCATATGCTAAAATAATAAAAATAGTTAAGTAAAAAATTCATTGAAAAATATATACAGTAAACTCCGTTTATAACGCACATGGGATATAAGTACTTCCGGATATTACGTACATATTTCAAGATCAAGAAAGTGGTCCAGTTCTGAAATCGAAAGCCGAAGAATTAACCGGGGGATTACAGGGTGAATTTTGTTAGTTGTTCTACAGGTTGGCTAGTTTCTGGTGAAGCAGGAGATATTAACAAACAAGCTGTACTGAACTGGCTAGAGGATAAGTGGCCCAGTATTGCACAAAATTGAAGCTCTGAGGATATGAGACTGGGCTATTTTACAAGCTGACTCCAGATCGTACCCTTAAATTTAGAGGAGAAAAGTGTTTGGGTGAGAAGCAGTCGAAGTTGAGGTTCACCGTTTGGGTTTGTGCAAACGTAACAGTAAGTTAATAATGCAAACTTCTTCTTATTGGTAAATTTGAGCGAAAAAATTGTATGAAAAATGTGGAAAATCTACCTGTCAGCAAACTAAAACATCAGAATAGAAATATATTGCTTCTGGTTGACAATTGTGTAGCTCATATCAATATCGGATTAGAGTTTTTGCTTCCAAATAGCACCTCGGCCGTCCAACCAATGGATCAGGGCATAATAAAATGCCTTAAGAATTGAACTGCTGGCTTGATGAAAATTCATTTAACAAAATAAAAAAGTTAAGATTTTCATGAAATTATATATATTCCGTGTCTTTATCAAATGTTATATTTACAAACTCCTTATACCGAAAAATGACAATAAAACCTTAATTAATATTGTGAGAATTTAAGTTTAATAATGGAGAGGTATTTAAATCGTTAAGCAATACATATATTTTGTTAATCTCCATGGTATCCAATAAATTTAATTTTATACTTTTTGTGGTTGTATGTAAAATATCAAAATTATCGTCAAAAATGGGATTTTCTGTGTTTAAGTGTGTAGCATAATTAGAATCTAGACTATTGTTTCTAAACACTTTTTTATGTTCGTTAATGCGTTTCTTGAAGGACCTACCTGTTGGTCCAATATAAATTTTAGGACAACCTGTAGATTTTGAACATTTTGTTTTGTTGTTTTTTAAACATTTTCATATTGTGTTGTTGGTTCTGAAAGCTATTTTTAAACCACATTTTGGCCAATGTTTTGAAACTTGTTCAGTATTAGGTTTCGGATAAATAGAGTTTACTGTTGTCTGAATTTGTTTTTTATTTACGGTTTTATCAGTAATGGACGGATTGCAGGCGTTGTTCAGTGCAATTTGTTTAATCATATTAAGTTCTTTGTTGTAATTTTCTGTTGAGAGTGGCGTATTAAGAAGTCTGGGCATAAAAGAGTGAAATGCAGCCATTTTGTGCGTATAAAGGTGATTTGAGCTGTCCGTGTATGAAGGTTTATGGTAAATGGAAAAATCTAATTTGTTTTGCGTTTTCGTAATAGTTAAGCCTAAAAAATTAATAGAGTCCTGTTCAATCTCGATAATTTAAAAAATAATTCAATTGTCTGTCTGTTCCAACAAAGCAAGCAAAGACATCATCCGCGTGTCTATACCACCATAGAAAACTTTTAATTAAAGGATGTTCTAGTATGATATTTTCCAAATTATCCATAAAAATCTCGGCCAACACAGAACTAAGTGGGTTTCCCATAATCAAACCTTAGAGATGTAAATCTGTTCATTAAATTCAAAATAATTTTGGTCTACAGATACTATCTAATAAATATTGTTTTACCAATAAGTTAACCTATTTCTGAGTGAGGGTGAAATCATCTAAATCGTGGGAAATGAGTTTTGTACATCAAAAGTGTTGCGTTATAAGGGACTTTGATATCTTTAATTTTGTTGATTAATTCAAAGGAATTTTTGATTGCAAATTATGGTTCGAAATCTGTGTGGAACTTTAAAATATTTACTAATTTTGTTGAGAGTTGAGTTAAAGTAGAAAATTTAATTTAATGGAAGCCATGGAGGTTAACAAAATGCGACATTCAAATGTACTAACGATCAATTAGATTTAAATACCTCTCCGTTGTTAAACTTAAATTCTCACAACATTAATTAAGGTTTCATTGTCATTTTTCGGGATATATAGTAGCAAATATTACATTTGATGTCGAAACAATGGTCATGTGAATATATATATAATTTTATGAAAATCTGAACTTCTAGTTCTTATTTATTTTGTTAAATGCCTTAAGACATATTACCGCAGATATTTTTTGTATCGTTTGATTCTGTCATTTGAAAATAAGAAACCTTTCAACACCACCACAATGTTCGAATGATGTTACTAATCGATATGCAGGTCCGATAAAATCGGAAAATGAGTTTGATTCAGACGATGAATTGAACATTGAAATGTATCTACTGATAATGTAACTGATGTTAATTCATCAAGTACATGAAATTTCTATTAAGACAAAATAAACAAAAAAAAAATACGAATTTTTTTACTCAAAAAGAATACAGTATGTATTTTTACTGGTATGTTGTAAAGATTACATAGATAGATAAGTTTTTAGTTTAGGTAGTTTAGTTTCTTTCGTTTTTTCGTACCTATATTAGTGTTTATTGGTTTTCTATTGGTTTTTAGCGTACTTCCGCTTATGGAGTACTCATTTTCCGGCCCCCAGAGAGCACTTTATAACCGGAGTTCACTGTATTCGATTTTTCCTCTACGAAGAAACATCTGGAGTGGTATTAAGAATATTATTAAAACATTATTCACTTATAATGAAGTATCCACTCAACAGGATTCAAAAAGTTAAATTTAAAAGTTTCTATTTACGTATTTTACTTAATTTTAAGCCCTGAAGGAGCGAACAGGAAAATTTGAAAAATCCACCAGATTTTACGTGACAATACGGGCCACTCACCCTTATTTCATCCCTTATCCGTCGTTCTTCCTCTTCTCTCTGTTTCGCAAACTTCCGATACAAGTCATCTTCTTCTTTCCGATGTTTCATTTCTAATCGCCTTTGTTCATCTCTGTCCTAAAACAAAATATTGATTTTATTCTAAATGACATTTTGACTTGATTAACTTTCGATTATATTTCGAGCATCTTTCATTATAGACCTGCTAGTAATAGGTGTGGATCAATTCATCACATTTTTCTAATTCAAGATAAAAAATCATAAAATCGTGGATCAATGTTGTTATTGATTTTCTATATTTTGATGATATAGAGTTATTCTGTTTCTGGGTTGATGGAGAAGAACGAACTCCTTTTAAATCTACCGGAAACATCCGTGACTAAAATAAGTGGCTAGCGATCGTGAGTAACGTGGCACTATTCATTCCTGAACAATTGGGTATTTTAGAGTAGAGAATAGAAAACAAAAATTTTAACACAAGCTGCGATAGAGTTATGAACAATATGAATACATTCACTGCAGTAAAATCTCCGAAAACATCCGATTGCTCCCGCTAATGTCCGAAGTGGCACGGAACTGTGGGAAACGAAAGTGACACTTTATGCACACTAGATTAGGTTTTTCACGGAAGGCGGTACAAAATAGTATATTATGCAACAAGTTCGGAGTTTATTTGACACGAGCGGAGCGAGTGTTTAATAAACAATCTGTCTTTTACCGAACGTGTTGCATACTCTACGTAGTAGATTTGCGCGAAACAACATACATTCACTGACATGACCGACAGAATTGACAAACAAAATTCCGGAAACGTCCGAAGTGGTGCAGATCGGTGGGTAGCGAAATTGACGTGGTAAAGTGACGCTTCACGCACGCTAGATCGGTGTGTAATCAGGTATTTTAGAGACGGGAGTAGAAAAATTCATTTGCATAGTATAATTATTTCATTGAAGAAGGAAAATGGATATAAAGTTTTATAGGCAAACCAACTGACGAATCCACTTACGGTGCGTTCTTACTGAAAGACTTTTATTTAAGGCATTGTTTAAAAGGCATAGTTCAAAATTGTTTCTATGTGAAGTAGAAACAGTATGGTCAGCAAAAAATGTAAAAATATCATAATTCATGCAACGCAAAGGTGATCCCAGAGACTTTTGTGTGAGCAGCGATAACAACTTGATTGCACAAAAACATTAGAATTAAAGTCGGAATATTTTAGGTTAAGCAAATGTAAAAAAAAAGGACACGCAGAAGTTACAAGTGTTGGATATTTTAGTTCTCAGTTGCTATTCGACGAAGCTAACCAAAAACGGGTTCTCGCAAAAATATTCCAAATTAATCCATATCAAAATTAGTTCCAGAGTAATCTTCTCTAGATAAGGAAACTTTTTTGTCTGAACTGTTTTTTTCTATTCTTTCAAATTTATGGCGGGGAAGGGTAAAATTTTGGTTTAGAAAAAGTTGAATAACTTTTTTTTGGCTAATCGGATTTTGACGAACTTAGTTTAGTTTTCAATAGTATTTATAGGAGCTTCGACTGCCATGTCAATATCACGATATTAATTCTTTTACGGGTCGATAGGTTGTGCTTCATGTCAAAAACAGCTATTTTTATGATTTTCTCGAAAATTTTAAATATAATGTTATAAATATAGGATGAAAGAACGTAAAAAAAAGCGCGAGTAGTGGAAACGGCATGGCAATATGTTTATTAAACATATTTTTCAGGCATTGCATAGTAGTACTACCGGAGACCACAGACGTGGTGTTTATGTTCTGTCCAAGTGTGCTCTGCGAGACCAGATCTATTTGTTTGTTGTTCCTTGTGTTCTGCTATTTTTACATCCCGTAGTCGCTCCGTTTCCACACCAGCAGGGCACTTCATATAAACAGTTTTTGTCAACTGTGATGTCGTCCACAACGGTAGGAGGTTTTGATATTGAATTTTGTTCAAATTCTCCTGGTATTTTGGAAAGCTCCTTTAACATAGGGATTGGTCATTAGTTGGTTTTGGCTGGACTCTGATTTATGTCCTGCTTGCTATTGAGACTTAGCAATGACATCTTCATTTAGTATTTTTGAAAAACCGTTCCCCATTAGATGTTCTTTAATTTTGGGTTCCTCCTGCGTCGGTTTTTGTTGAGTCGGACTTGCTAACGTTTCGCTAATCATCCTGTTGGCTCCTTCAGTTCGTAGAAGAATTGATTACTTGCAAGAATTTTAGTTTTATCGAATAAGACTTTATGACCGGTTTCGTGATTGTGTTCGGCAACTTTATTTGTTCTTTCATGTTCTTTGAGCCTAGTTAATTTTTTTCGTCCGGTCTCTACAATTGAATTTTGTCTTTGACGGATCAAAGATGTTGAGAGCTTTTTGGACAAGTGGTAAATCTGGTTTGGACAATAGTGGCAAGTGTAGGATTGCTTTCAGACGTGAAGTGGGGTGGTTAAATTTGAGTGTGTCCTAATTTGTTCATAATAAACGTCAATAATCAATAATAGTTAAAAAATGAATCGTCAATCGTATATTATGCAACAAGTGCGGTAAATGGCATTTGACTCGCGAGTTTATTTGACACGAGCGGGGCGAGTGTTTAATAAACGAGTGAGTTAAAAAGTTTACCGAACGTGTTGCATACAAAACTACGACCGTTAGTTTTTGGGTACATTTTCGCAAAACACGAATACATTTAGTGACATGACTGTCAGAATTGACGAACGTCAAAACTCAAAGCGTGGGAAATATATCCGAAAACATCCGATTGCTCCCAAACCCGTGCGGTAAAATCCCGGAAATGTCCGAAGTGCCTCGGATTCGTGGGAAACGAAACTGACGTGGTAAAGCGACGCATCCCGCAAGCTAGATCGGTGTGTAATTAGGTATTTTACGTTAATATATTACATGTATTGTCAGTATTGGAGAAAAGGGTATAATAAATAAGTAGGCTTAGCGGTTGGCATGGTAACGACACGATTATTACGAAATGTATTTTTTGAATTGTTCTTTCTAAACTAATTTCATCTCCATTATGTATTATATATAAAGTAAAATTAAAGTAGTATCGACCCTTTGCTATAAATTATCATTAGGTTAGAATCTTAGAATGCTTGTAGAAAAATAATTGGAAAACTTTTCTTGTATTTGGTAATTTTCGATTACTTAACAATAATTTCTTAATATATGTGTCGCAGACACTGATAATTTGACAACTGTACCGTATGATCCAATATAATGCCACCTACATTACGTACTGACAACCGTTTTAACATTTGAAATCCATAGAAATAAAACACCGACTATTAATTAGAATAAAAATTTTGAGAAATTATGTAGATAAAAAATTATTAGAAGCTATTTCTGAAAAATTCCAAATTTCGTAATTTTTAAATGGCTGTAATTAATCTTCCTTTAATGATAATCATACTTTGTTATACGGTTATAGAAAGCTTAAGGACTTTAATAATATAAATAGGTTTTTGTAAAATTCGCGAACATTATTTTACATTTAACATTTTAATTTTAGTGAAAAAAGAATATTTCCATGTTAAACAAATGGGAAACTAAAATAAAAATAGCGACCCCTTAGGAGTTGAGCTACAGGGCTCATCTTGGGTGAGGATTATTTTTATATCAATAAGAAACATTTGAGAGGGTAAGAGCTAAAAAAAATAGAAATGTTTTTGAAGCACCTTACGGTACGTTACATCGAAAATCGCGTGACGTGTCAAACGAATCCACCGACTCCGCCGTTATTTCGATTTCCGATATCGGCGCGGGAATCTATAAACTGGAACTAATGAGCTCGATTCCGGCTGATTTAATAATTATTAAATTGTACTTTGCAGTTTTCTCGTCGCATATTTCCAACCCAGACGGGTACTTTCATTTCCTTTCACATACGCTTTTGGTTCCGATACGTTTCATCGGAAATTTTAGGGTGTGAAACTTTAACATGGTCCCAATTCATAAGACGAAGCATACTTTTAAATGTATACGAAATTTTAATATTTTCTCTTCTATGTGTGAAACGTATTTTGTTTTATATATTCTCATTCGTTAGAGGCATGGCAGAAAATATTAGTAATATTAGTCGGGTTAAAGGTAGGTAAAGGTAAATAAAACTTGGACTGAGGTGGCTTTTTACTTGATGAAAATCCATTTAATGCAAATTAAATTAGAACAAAAAATACACAGTTTTCAATGCTTTATTCTCACGCGGAGATAAGTTAACCCTATCATAAAACAAGACTTGCTAGATAGTTTAATATATGGTTGTTCGGAAAGTCATTTCGTTTTTTCCCGTCAGAGGACTTAATTACGTTTTTTCGAAACCAACTTCACACTTAAGCCGCATAACCATTATATGTCTTGAGAGCTGATATTGCAAGGCTTGTGTGTGAAAAAGTTCTATTTATTCTACGCAGTAGTTTTTGGTTGGTGCCCTTTTAAATATGGAGAGCAATAAGCAGCATTTTCGTCATATTTTACTTTTTTACTTCAGAAAAGGTAAAAATGCTGTCCAAGCGAGAAAAAAATTGACGGATGTGTATGGAGAAGGCGTGTTAACAGTACGCCAGTGCCAGAACTGGTTTGCAAAATTTCGATCCGGCAATTTTGATGTCGAAGATGCACCACGGTCTGGAAGGCCGGTCGAAGCTGACAAAGATGCGATAAAGGCATTAGTTGATGCAAATCGGCAAATAACCACACGAGAGATCGGTGAGAGATTAAATTTGTCGAATTCGACTGTTTATGGCCATTTGAAAGGCATGGGCTTAACCTAGAAGCTCGATGTGTGGGTGCCCCATGTCCTTACGGAGCGAAATTTGTGTCGTCGCGTTGACGTGTGTGATTCGCTCCTCAAACGTCCAGAAAATGATCAATTTTTGAAGCGGATTATTACTGGGGACGAAAAATGGGTTGTATACAACAATGTTAAACGCAAGAGGTCATGGAGCAGAAAAGATGAACCGGCTCAAAGCGTGTCAAAAGCCAACATTCACCAAAAAAAGGTGATGCTCTCCGTTTGGTGGGATGTCAAAGGAATCGTTTTTTTTTTTGAGCTTTTGCCGGACAATACAACGATTAATTCAGAAGTCTATTGTCATCAACTGGAC